TCTCTGTAATATTTCAAAGATTAACTTAATAAAATGTTTAGAGTGTTAGAGGGAGGTTTAGTTCGAACCTCTCACTCTCTAACTCTCATTGCCGCCAGCTCTCTCTCTCTCTCTCAACTACTTAATCTTCTCTTGTTCACTTTTCTGGTTTTGCATCTAATCTCAAGCAGTCCTATACTTCAAGAGGACTGTTTTCAACTGATATACTTGCAAAGCTCTCCCTTAAGCTGGTGAGTATGTCATATAGACCCATATTGGAAATTTAAGTCAACTTGAGGTCTATGCAATGCCTTGGTAAACAATTTTGCTTTCTGGTTTTCAAATTTAATCATTACTCTATATCTTCTTATGGACAAAGTGGCAATCAACTTCAATATGTTTGTTCTCTCATGGAATAGTGGATTTGAGGCAATATGTATTGCAACCTGGTTATCACAATGAAGATGCATTGGAAGTGATATGGGGACTACCATCTCTTTAAGTAAACTCTTGTTCCACTTAAGTTCACTTGTGGTATGATTTCTTGCCTAGTGTTCAACCTCTTCAATAGACTTCACAACTATGCTTCTTACTCTTCCATGTGATAAGATTTCTACCAAGAAAAATGCCCCTGTAGTAGAATGCCGATTTGAGGACGAACCAGCCTAACTACATAAATATAGCTCGATATAGTCAAAGTGTCCATGATCCTTATAAAACAGCCAAAGACATGAAGAATCCTTMAAATATCAAAATCTCCTAAGAACTGCATCTATGTGAATCCATAAACTGACTGTTTGATACTGATAGAAAATTATATATTGGGATGTGAGACAGTCAAATAATTCTGGAAAATAAGGGTAACATAGCTTTTAGTTTAATCATCTTTGAATGAACTTCCTATTAATCCTTACTGCTTCCTGCATATTGGATTACATTTAAGATTTATTGAAGTGTCCTAATGTTGAGTTATTTCTGTTATGTCCCAATATATTGCTTATGAAGAGGATATATATGTTTTTTAAGGAATATTCATATCATAAAATGTTTCACCTGTTGTGCATTTTAGGTTTCCGATCAATGGTGGTGTGAACCAGGACATGGAGATTGGTGCACCTGTCTGGAAAAGTACACACTTTGTCGAGATGGTATGTACCATAAGGTATGTAATAGCTGAGGAGTCCAAGGAACATTACATGGAAATGCAATTCAAACACCACATAATTAAAACATGACAACTCACTCAAAGCTTCTCATTATGACTAATATCTAGTTTACCTGGATAATTCAGCTTAGTGAGCCAAGCATTTAAGAATTATGCACTCTTATACCTTCATTTTCTCCAYGATAAGTCCATAAGCATTTCCAAGGCTGAAGAGGAATGCAAAGTACAAAGTATTCTCCTTTAATGAGTTAATGGTGATGGAAAACCATCATATATTGTAGGATGTGAATTCCAAAGGAATCGACCTTCAAAACTTAGTTTTATTTCATCTTTTGCAGGTGGAAAGAGAAAGGGGTGATGCCAATATATCAGAACGTCATTGTGGTTCAAATCTTTGAATTTATTATGCAATATGATCCAGTAAAAAATCAACATATACCCTATTACTGATGAAAAATTGTTGGCTTTTTTTTTCTATCAGATCTGATCTCTTGATATTCCTTTCCTTCTAGAGGAATACTAAATCAACCAAAGCTCTCCAAGTAATCAATCCTCATCAATTGAAACAGCATATGCTTTTAGGAGTTCAAGGCATTTTTCTATGTTTCACCTTAAGAAGATGAGGAATAGAACAAGAATCTTTTACAAAGATGGCAAAATATTGTATTTGTGCACAGGCCAACCTGGCACATGCATGAGTGTCTGTGTATTGTTGCCATATGCAGGCTTTTGTCATGCCTAAGACATATCTACAGACCACCCCCGTATATAAGCTTGAAAGAACTTTATTTTCAGGCAGTATTCTCCCTCACARTGAGAGTAGCAGTTCTCACGAGGTTGAAATTGTAAAATCCTTAATCTGAACATTTCTTATAGTTAAGAACAGAAAATGCAACCAAAAAGTATAATATATAAAACAAGAATGAGTTTCTTATGCCATTAAAGCAACTAAAAAAACAATTGGAAACAAAATAAGTTGAAGGCATGATATTAGCAAGATTCTAATGTACATTATTTGAATTTCACATACTGATAAGAATAAAATACAACACCTTAACAAGCCAAAACCAGTAGTGAATTGCCAAGTATGGTTAGTGTGGAAGCTGTATCCTTTTTGGAAATCCTTGATCTGGTAAGGTGGGCAACCCGCAACCACCTCCAGCCATGGATGCATCCACAACTGAATCTACTAGAATGCCAGCTAAGCTAGGGTTTTGTAAGAGGTACCATTGAGATTAGTGTGGTTTTCCCAATGGTGTGCAAGGTAAGAGGACCTTTCAGATGGACCGTATGTAAATATAAATGTGAATCCTCATGTCTTGTATCTCTACTTGACAAGTCCTAAATGGCCTTACTGTAGCAGTTTCAAAATCATGACAGTCAAGTACTTTGTTGATATTGCAGAAAATGATAACATCATGGCCCCATACAAGATTAATTTTATCCAGTGCTTCTTGGAAAAATGATCTTCACAGTTTGCTTTTCCTAGCTCCTTCCAAACTCCAAGCAATGCTGTCTTCACCAGAAGAAATATTCTGATAATAATCCCATGCTTTCTTTTTGGCAGCAAGACCAATTTGAGCGCCTTCTGCCCACCTTCATCCAAATAATTGACTTGACAGAGGAAGAGGAAACTGTGTATTGGATGGTTGTATCATCTGTTTTTGAGGGTAAACAAGTTGCTTCTATTCCTTCAAACTCAAGATACTTTGGAACATCAAGCTCTGACTCCCCTAATTCTACTCCCATTGAAACCAGCATCAACAACAAGGTTGGTATACAATCACCCGCAAACCCAAATTTGCTTCTTGGTTTTAATTATGCCATTTTACCAATAAAAAATCGTGATGTCTTGGATATTTCCACATTATATATGATACTTTCATGGATTGTTTGAGGTTTCCCCATGTTTCCTTTTTAGTTTTTTACTTACATAGATCTCAAGCAAAAGAAGGTTAATTGCTAGTTAACGAAGTAATTGTATGGTTGCACTATGGAAGTAAAGAACTTGTGGGGAGGAATTGTTGGGTGAGAATGATCATATGCCAAGATCATCCAGCAGATACCTTGTGCTCAAGAAAATTCTCCTTGTCCAAATTTAAAACCTAATCAGATGATACAGAATTTCCAAAAACAGTGTTTCAAACTGAGTGTTTGTTTTGCATGATGCTACTTATGCTTTTATATTGTCTCAAGAGTTTGTTATGCTAAGCCTCATGTCACCTGCCCTAACTGAAAAAAAAAAGGCAATGGACAAGCAGGGCATTTTGTATTTGATCTGGCCATTAGTGCTTATGATATCCAGCTAAGGACGGGTCTAAACATGTTCAACATGTTTACTAAGTKCATGATGTTGATTAATGATGGCCTGAAGTGTTCTCAATTCTTAATAGATTTCTACTGTTAATGTCAGGTACGTCTACTGAGAGAAATGCTTCAGTGGGAGGAGCAAGTACGCTCTGAAGCAGGTCTTGGAGACACAAAGCATGGCAAAAAACCAAATGGTGGACATGACTCTGTACTTGGAGAGGTAGTTATTGTATGTTGGCCCGATGGTGAGATTATGAGAATGAGAACAGGGAGCACTGCTGCTGATGCAGCTAGAAGAATTGGACTGGAAGGTAGGCTGGTATTAGTGAATGGTCAGCTTACATTACCACATACAGAACTAAAAGATGGTGATGTAGTTGAAGTCAGAGTATAAATCTCTCACAATTTATAGTTGAATGGGAGCAAAATTCTCAAAGTTGGTTTCTTTTTGTATATTGTAAGGTCTTTTTTCGGGGGTGATAAAATGAGCATTTAAAAGTTGTGGTCAAGCTTATGTACAAGGGTGGGTTCTGTTTTTCTAATTCAATGTACATATCGGTTAATTCTTGCAAAAATAAAGAAGGAAAAGAAATTCATTTTATACGTTTGCTCCTAGTACCTCTAAAAATTTGTCTGATGAATGTCTGGAACATCTGTATGACTATGCTTTGGCTTAGGTCTAGAGTGCAAAGGCGTGCAGTATAATATGATTCTTAAGCTGTATTATTGAATGGCTGCAGATTGCAGAGACTGATCTATAAACCAAGCAATTGCTAATGATTTGTATGCTGAGTATAAGGAAAAATCTGGCACTGTGAGACCTGCTAGCCACCTAATAGAATCCAGTCAGTTGTTTCTGATCATAATTTTCTACATGAAGTGTCAAATCAAGTTTCAACTATAAATATTAATGATTAATCCCGCATATGTATCTTTCTGGTTGAAGTGACTTGTAACAACACATTATTCACCAATTTGTATTGATCAACCAAAGCATTTCAGGTAGAAACAGCAGTGGTTACCAAACACAACCTTGAAAGGCTATGACGCGGGATCAATGAGGTATAAGGCTATAAGCCTCAAGGCGAGGTGTACCCAACCCATCTAGCCTCACATATATGAGGCTTAGGCCTCAAGTGAAAGAGTYATATGCCTCATAGCCTTTAACCTCGGATTTGTTTGTCACGAGACATTTTTCATGCCCACCTCACARCACATTGCAGTCAGGAACATCTCCCCATCAATGACAAGATACAAGTATTGGAGATATAAAAGATGCTCCCCACCTCACTAGCCCCCGGTTAGTGAGCCTCTTATCAACGACGCCATGGCATTGGCAGCGCAGGAGGAGGACGATCGTGTCATAGAGCCGGGTGAAGTAGAGAAAGAGAAATATGAAACTTTTGCTGCCATATCGATTATTATTGCAAGAAAACACGTCAATGAGACTGACTGGTGACAGGCAATTGGCAAAGCAAGAAGAGGTTCCAAGAGAGAAACCTTTCGAGTTGGCTGGCTGGCTTTAAAGGATATCTCTGTGTAAGGCTTGGCATCTGAGCAATCATTCTAAGATTTGCGACTATGTAAACAAGAGTTTTTCTTCTTCTTCTTCTTTTTTTTTTTTTTTTTTTCTTGGGTGAAATTCAATTGCTGTCTCCTCTCCATTCTACCGGGATAGAATCCATGATTCAGGCCCTTGGTCTTTCAACGGTGATGTGATTTTAATGATCAAGTGTGAAGCCAATATGGTACTGATACCTGCATATTGCAAATTGGAGATGGTAGAGTTTTGGTTTGGGTGCAGTTACCCAATTTACCCTCAGAATGCCTAACAGCGGAGCGGAAATTGCCTAGAGCATTGCTACCAGCCTACCACCATGGCAGAGGAAGTGGAAAAGTAGGTTCCGTTTTGCAAGAATAAAAGTCCAGATGAATATCTACCGGTTACCATTGGTTCGTGCTGTCGAATATACTTTGCTTAAATAATGAAGAGATAATGATTAGTATTGCTTATGAGAGACAGATTTTGTAGTCTGTGTAGATGCAAAGAGAGGGTGGACCTGGACATCATGGAGAAAGTAGAAAGTCTGTTAAGCTCGGTTTGGAAGTAGTACAAATACAAATTTGTAGAGTACAAAACATTACATTTTCTATTATTTTGTTTGTATTTGTATTTGTACTCTGAGCRTTAATTTCAAATAGAAAGTTACGGTCCCCGATTCAAGTCTATTTCGTTCGAGAAGCCAGCAAAGAAAATAACAAATTACACTACATCAATATTGAGCTATAGCGGCAGTTCAAGTGACTGCCGGTGGAAATACGACCCTTTAAGCAGCAGTCGCTTTGAAGAACTAAAGAAGGCTGAAGGCGCGAAAAATGACAATAGGGTTCCCTTTTCTCAGCCGCTAGAGTGGTTCTCCTCCTTCTCTTCCCCCCCCCCTCTCTCTCCGATTGCCCATCTGACCGATTTGGGTTTGCCYGTGCTCTCCACCGGACGGCACCAACCGGCGACAGCTACGTCATCGGACTGGATTCCGGCTGCCCTATTCGCCTCTCACCTATAGATAGTAAGGTAAAAATCTCTCCTCCTCTCTCTGTTTTGTATTTAGTTAATCGATTGAGTTTGTGCGTGGAAAGATTGAATGAGAAATTATATTTCGGCTTTTCAGAGAAAAGAAACAGAAGATTGAATGAGAAATCCTGAATGCGTACTTTGCATAATGGAATCAGTAAAATGTACCAGTTTGATATGTTTAATTTGTCCTTTTCAGATATGATTTTCATCTGAAATTCCTAACTATTTTCCTTTGTTATATGTATATATACACTGGGACGTGAAGCCACCGTCTCACATCTCAGCCTCTTATCCTTAGACTCCAACTCAGTGCCACCTTACCTGTCTCCTTGAGAGGGGGAAAAAAATAAAAGCCATATAAAAACTACTTTTTTGAGTAACAAACTCTATGTATTTCTCCACTAAAGATGTTCATCTATCAAAATTCAAAAGTCCAATCACTCTATTTTGCAAACTTTTAGATCATAAAAATATAGATTAGTATTTTGATCTACTTTAATTGAAGATTCATTATTCCAAAATAAACAAAGAGACGAATACAAACCTTGAGAATATATAATCTATTGATTCTTAATGAATTGCTAATTTATTCTTAAGTCTCCCCCTCTTAATTACATACAACAAATACCCTTATTAAATACAGCAAAAGTAGAAACAGAATCTAGGACCAAGCAGTACTCTTATAGGGTGTTTACTGTCTTTCATTGCCATTTATTCTTTATTCTCTTGATAATTCAAACTGTGCTGGGTTCATCTAAGATAATGATTCTCAATTCACTGGCCTTTTTAGGTCTAAATTATAAAGAAGAAATTAAATAGAATGGGAACTATTTTTATGGCTTCCAACTTCTAATGGTCTTATCCACATCTTTACACCYATCGCTTTCTCCAAATTCCTCTCATAACTGGGGTATCTCAAAACCGGGGATTCTTCCTTCAATTTCATAACGCAATGCTATGTCCCTTTCAATGTAACCTTTCTTCCAATTCTATGGYTTTTGGATTTTTTCTTTTCTTGRCATGCATTCCATTAGGAAATTGCTATGAAGATGCAAAAGAYAATGCATGGCTTGGAGACTTGGCCTTGGACCATATATATTATGGGTTTTCTGATATAGGGGGTGGGGACCATACTATACAAATATATGATTTTAGGTTTACCAAACAAAGTGGTAGTATGACCATTGTAGTGATTGCATCAAATTCATTGAAAGATTGATCATGGTTGCCAAAGGATGGGAAGATAGAGAAAGTGCACTTTTTAAATTTGTCTTGGTATAAAAAACCCTTGGCCAGAGAGTTACTCAAGTTGTTGTGAATTGCATCAGGGGTTTCTGTGAGGTCCTGTAGGCCTGTTAGACACTTGCTGATGATATTACATCCATTAACACTGAGAAAATTATGAATGTTAAGGTGTGTAACGCATGTAGAAAAGGCAGCAAGGTTGGTATAGTCTAGAAAACAAGAGTCATGGTTCAAAGGATGGGGAATGRCATGACTGAGCATCATCCCAAATGAGCTATCTTATAGATCATGTTCTTTGAAACTTGCAATCAAGCTTCCACTGAAGTTATCTATCTATCTATTCAGCATTGTCCAATAATTCATAACAGATTGAGGTTGATGTCATCAATGGAATTGGAAAAGAATGGGCAAAATGGAGGCCTACATCAAAAGTTTGTCATCACATCTTTCTTATTAACTCATAATTAAGCAAGATGCTAAATTACGAAAACAGCATATGCATTATAGGTGCATGTAGGAATTGATCGTACTCATCAATATTCTTCTTACAATCTTTTTGTTCAAACAAAATAGCTGCCATATGATTCACCGTTGGGTTGTCTTTGGTTTGATAGAGATTAAAAAAGAATGAAACATATGTTGAGGGAAAGTTCTTAACAAATGTTGTGAAATTCCTTAACAGCTTTCCCAAACATACCTTTATTAACTATTTATTTCGTAACTACATTGGCCAATAACTCCTTAGGCCACCTTGGGAACGGGATGGTCAAGTCGACTCATACTATCTCATCCATTAGAGTTTGGGGCCAGAAACTTTTCAGGAAATCCCAACTCAAATGTGAGTTGTAAGATCATTAATATGCAAGGTTGCAATACTTGGTTGTTAAGTCACAAACAATATCTTGAGTTTACAAAAACAATAGATGGAATGGACTAATGCTGTTACAATTTACAAACCATAATCTCTCTTGCTTTCTTTCTTGRAAAGGAAAGTTAAACCAAATAATTAAAAAGAGAGTCCAAAGTCACAAATATGCCACAGCCATAGGAGCACATAGTGGGATTGCTCTCTATTATATTGCTTATATTCAATAAGCTCATATTAGATTGCTCTCTAGTAATTAAACCATGCAAGTCTCTCTAGGATTGCTCTCTAAAAGAAATATTTAACAAAAACCCAAGTTATTATCTTCAAAAAAAATTAATATTGCTAAAACATGCTCTCATAATTCCACTAAAGTTTGCCTCTTTTGCATGCATTTATTTACTCAAAGATTTAAGAAGAAAATGAATTCAAATTTTTATACATGATTACAGAAATTTTAGGTTCCAACACTGCAGAGACAAATATATATATATATATATATATCAAATACATAAGAAAGCATCCTATTATATAGTAAAAGAATTATCAATGATAAAGGTGCCCCACCCCCACTATCTCTCAAAGTGCTCATGCTTGATACCAATTAGGAAACCTGTCTTGTTCAAGTCTTGCACCATTTTTTTTTTATGAATTAGAAATGATTTATGAATGATATATCAGAAATGTTACAAGAACCCCAAGGAGAGGCATGAAGTGCAACCTCCCTTGAGATTAAGTGTAAAAAACTATGCCAAAGACATTAACAATGTTGCCCAGTAGAGATGTTCCCTCAATACCCCCCGTTTAGCAAGATGATCAGCCAAAGCATTCGCTGACCTGCTCACCCAAAGTGAGTTTACAGACATGTTGTTTGTTAACCTGCTTGCCTTTTTTACCCTTGTAGCACCAAATGGCTGATCTTGGATCTGTTAACCAGCCTGTAACAATCGTAGAATCTCTTTCAATTAGAAGATGTTCTACTCCTAAATGGTTTGCTATCTGAATATCCTTTAGAGACGCCGATAATTCAGCCCAGACTGAGTCTCCTACTCCCACTGGACCATAGTATAAAGCTAAGATGTTGTTGTCCTTATCTCTCAATACTCCTATGTTTGAGGAGCCAGGGTTTCCTTGACTGCTTCCATCAAAACTTAACTTTGCCCAACCTTCAGGTGTGGGGTCCAAGAGGCAATGATCTTTTCCTTCCTAGAGGAGCTATTTGCCACTGCTAACCAGTTCCACCAAAGGTCGTCAAAGGAAAACAAATGAAAAGAATCTAGAGTTTTCAGTCAATGAATTGCCCTTGTTAAGATAAACTCCTTGATAAGTAAAAGACTTTGTTCCTTTTCTTGGAAAATTCTTGCATTCATTTTTTCCCAAATTGTCCAAAGTGTCGTATCTCTAATACATTTCCACATAATTCTCCCTCTTTTGTTGGGCCATGCAAAAGTCAATGGATCAAAGAATAGGCTTATAACTGTAGGTTGGTTCCGCTTACATCCAAACAAGGCAAAAATCCAAACCCAAATAGCTGTAGCGAAAATATAGGAAATTAGTAAGTGAAAGCAATCCTCACCATTTGCTTTACAAAGAATACACCAATTAGGGGACAAGCACAAGAAAGGTTTTTTTCTACAAACAATCAAAAGTATTGATCTCTCATGGAACACTTCCCAACAGAACAAAGTGATTTTAGGGGGAATAGACCTAGTCCAACACTCCTTAACTGGAAAAACAAGCACAAGTAAAGGAACCTTTAGGCTATGTTTGGTTTGAAGGAAAATGCAGGGAAAGGAAAAGAAATATAGGAAAACCTTTACAAACCTTGTATAGGTTTCCTGTCTTTCCCTTCCTTTCCCTACCTTTTCCCTCAAACCAAACATAACCTTAGGGTGGGARACCAAATTTCTTTGTCTGGCTTTAGAGGATCCAAATAGACACTATCTAGGACACAAAGAAGAGTACCAAGTTCACCATCCCTTGAACCCCTACGGAAACCAAAATTCCAAG